TAACTTGTATTGCTGTGTAATGTTTAAAATCACAATTCTATATTTTGTGAGTCTATTTTATTGTTGTTTGATTTTAATTCGTGAGTTTCACACTTGTTTTTATTATTTTATACCTTCTGCTTTCTTTGGGCTTATTATTCTTTCTTATCCAACCTTCTTGAGATTGGTTGTTTAGACAATCAAATCTGAATCACTGTTTTCTTCCTATGCATTTTGGAGTTACAGATTTTACTACAGTGTTGACTTACATGCAATACTGGATAATTTTAAAAGAAATCATCTATTTCTAATAAACGTTGAGACTTTCTTGACCCAGGTCCTGATACATTATAGTAAAGAGCCCTTATCCATAATTTGCTCTTTGTAGTTGAGATGCAGTCTTCCTTGTGTATCCGTCAGATGAATTACTTTCAACTGTTCCTTGTGCATCCATCAGATATATTTCTTTCAACAGTATGCATTGTTTTGTTCTGCTGAGTAATACTCCATTATGTAAATTTACCACATTTTCTCTATCCACTGTTCAGTTGAGGGGCATCTAGGTTGCTTCCAGGTTCTGGCTATTACAAATAATGCCGCTATGAACATAGTGGAGCAGATGCCCTTGTTGTATAAATTTGCCTCTTTTGGATATATGCCTAAGAGTGGAATTGCTGGGTGTTGTGGTAGATTTATTCCCATTTTCCTGAGGAATCTCCATACTGATTTCCAAAGTGGCTGTACAAGTTGGCACTCCCACCAGCAGTGGAGGAGTGTTCCCCTCTCTCCACATCCTCTCCAGCATAAATTGTCTTCGGTGTTTTTGATTTTAGCCATTCTGACAGGAGTAAGATGGTATCTCAAAGTTGTTTTGATTTGCATTTCCCTGATGGCTAAGGATGTTGAACACTTTCTTACGTATATCTTGGCCATTTTAGCCTCCTCTATTGAGAATTCTCTGTTTAGTTCTGTACCCCACCTTTTCATTGGATCCTTTAGTGTTTTAGAGACTTGCTTCTTGAGTTCTTTGTGAAATTTTCTACTCTTTCTTGCTTCAAATCAAAACAACTTCATAGCACTGGAAGAAACCATGCTGAGTGAGGTAACCCAGTCACAAAAAGACAAACATGGTATGTACTCACTCATATATGGATTTTAGATATGGATCAGGATAGTGCCAGTCTGCACTTCCAGTGACAGAGGGTCTGGGAAACAGGAAAGAACCTAAAAGATATGCATGGTACCCAAGAGAAGAGAAATGAGGCAAGATCCTCTGAAGAGATGGGGAACACGGCGAGGGGAGGGGGGAAGGGGGAGCTGGGAAATAGAAAGGGGGAGAAGAGGAAGAGAGAGTAGGTCATGGGGGAACAGGAAGGTTGACTGGGGGGGTAGGATAGGGGGAAGAGGGAATCATAGATTAGAAGACAGATCAGGCACCATTGTGACCTCTAGTGATCTAAAGGGATGACACCAATTGGCAAGCTAAGCAATAGTGTAGAGACCACCCTGAATGCCCATTCCTGATAATGAACTTGATGTCTATAACCATCCTGGAGCCTTCATCCAGTGACTGATGGAAGCAGAGGCAAACACCCACAGTTAAACACTGTACTGAACCCAAGGAACCCAGCGACAGAGAGAGAAGAGCTATGAGCAAATTGGCAAAGAATGCAATGGCAAAACCAGCAGAGACAGCTGATCTGAACAGGAGAGAGCTCTTGGACCTCAGACTGACAGCTAGGACGCCAGCATGGGACTGATCCAGACCCCCTGAATGTGAGAGTCAGTGAGGAGGCCTGGGCAACCTATGGGGCCCTGAGCAGTGGATCAGTGTTTATCCCTTGAATACTAACAGACATCATGTGTTCATAACACAAAGAGTGATGCTTTCTCAGCTTGGACTCTTAGGGGAGTGCCTGGACCCCTACCTTGAGTGAAATGACAGACTCTAGATATCCTCTATGTGGAAGGAATTAGCAATAGGGTGGGAGGATGGGGGGGAATTGTGGGAGGGTGCGGGAGGAGGGGAGGGAGAGGGAACTGGGATTGATATGTAAAACAAGCTATTTAAAATTAAAATAATAATAATAATAATAATAATAATAATAATAATAATAATAATAATAAAGAATTAAGTCATTTTGCAGTAATGAGACGTCCATCAGCCTTTGACGGCAGGGGCAGAAAGTTGTATTATGAACATGTATACTGTGAATATGAGATGTCCCTCACAAGCTTATATATTAAACAGTTGGTGACCAGTTGGCACTTTTTTGGGAAATGATAGAAATGAGAGTCTTGCCAAAGTAAGTTGGTCACTGAGGACACGCCAACTTCTTATTTCGTTCTTTTCTGAGACAGGATGAGGAGTTCCGTTCTCCACATATTCCCACCACCATGTTCTACCAGGGTACACAGAGCCAAGTACCTGTGGGGTTGACCCCTGTGACACTGAGCAAAATAGCCCCTTCCCTCAAGTTGTTTTGATTAGGTGGCTGCTATAGTAATGGAAAAAATAATGCAGATCTAAGAGTCTACGAATGACACATACTGTTAAGTACCATGCCATCCAGTGATACTGACATTTGTATTCATTGTAGAAAGACTATGTCATGTATTTACCAGTTGCTTGGTGATGAGAATTCATAAAATATAATCTGTTATCAGTTTCCAATCACATATTCTATTATCTTTAACAATTGTGATGTACTGTAAGATTGAGCCCTAGAACTGCTTCTTACTGCCTAACCAGAACGTTGTCCTAGGTACCCCAAAATGCTCCCCACCTCCAGCCTTTGTGACTATTGTTCCTCTGCTATTGTGAGTTCTCCTTTAAAAAAAAGTGAGACCAACTCTTGCTAAGTCTCTCAGGATGGCCTTGAATTCACTTTCAGCCCTGACAGCTTTGAACTTGAGCCTCAAGAATTTCAGGCCTGTACTGCCAAGCTCAGAAGTGTTAAACTTCTTAAGACTCCACACACAAGCAAGGTTATGAAACATTTGGATTTCTATTCCAGGCCTATTTCACTTAGTTTAAGGCCTACAAGTGCATCCACACCATTGCAACACTATACATGGTATGATTTTCTTCTTCATAAGCTCTTAGTATCCTTCAGTTTTACATATATTTCACTACTTTTCTTTTTTTAAATCTATCATCTGTTGAAGGACATTACTGGTTGTTCTCTGTCTTGGCTATTCTTAATGTGGTTGCAATAAACATAGAAATAAGTATATATGTTGCCCAGATACAGATTTAATTTCCATATATATATATATGTAATCACATACACACATATGGAATTGCAGATCATATGGTAGTTCTATTTTTAATTTTCTGAGAAACATCCATATGGTTTGCTTCAGTGTTTGTACTAATTTGTATTTCCACCAACAACCTCAAGGCTTCTTTTCTTCCAGTATACTTCATCATTTTAATAAAAGCCATTCTAAAACATATGAGGTCATATCTCATTATGATTTTTAAGTGAGTATAGATTTTTGGCCATCTTTATTTTCTTATTGAGAAATGTCTAAGTATTTTGCTCATGTTCTTTCTATTGAGTTGTCTGAGTTTTTATATACTTAGTATCTTAACTTATTAAAGCATGGCCATTTCAAGTTAGGTTTTTAGTTTGGTAAAATATCACTCCTTTATTCTTCTTTATTGTCATCTGTGATTTTATGATTGTATCTAAGAAATCCTTGCCAAGACAAATGCTACAAATTTTAGTACTGTTATTTCTTCTTGTTGATTCCATGTCTTTTGAAAATATGAACAAGATTATGATGTTTCTCTGTTCTTTACTCTTTGCTATTTATTAGAATTCACTGTGGTCTAGTTGGCCTTGTACAGACAAGAGCTTGCTTCTTACTGTAATGCTACCTAAATCCTTTTCATTTCAACTATTAGGCCTCCTCTTTGTTTTTTTTTTATTCTCCAGATTTATTTTGGTAAAAAAAAATCAGATATAACCTTTCAAAAATTACATTAATGTTTGACATGCATTCAAATAACTTTCTCTTTTTTTTTCCAGTTTAAATTTAGATAAGAAACGAGGTTGCTTCACAAGTCAGTTCCAGGTCCCTCTTCCATTCCCTCCCCTCCTCCCGTGCCCTCCCCCCAACCCCCCCCTTATCCCCTCATTCCCCCAGGCCTCCTCTTTGTTAGTCAACCTAAACTCCACACTTGTCCTTCAGCTTCTCTTCTGCAGACATCATATGCTTACTTCCCATTTACTCAGTTCTCCTTGCCAAATGCCATCATTCCAGAGGGCAACCTTGACTCTAAAGACACTTGCAATATCTTCATTACTTCCTTTCTCCTTACTCTGTTTTGTTATTTTGAATACATCCATTTGTTATTATCAGGTTAATATTTACCTTCTAAACTGTCTTTGTCATCCACCACTAAGCTAATTCTATTCCTGGCATTGTACAACTATAGCTCACAATGAGATCAATGGTGATATGCAAGTCAGTGAGTAAATTCATTCACCAATCCCACATCTCTTTAAGTATCATTTCAGAGGAATGAACTGATGGTGATTTCTGTTTGTAAAATTCTCAAATTTTAGAAGATTATCTTCTATGGACAGAATGAAAGAATAGCATGAGAGAAATAAATGTTATTTAAAAAGCATGCTAAAAGTTATAGAAATATTTCATTTTCATTCTATTTTTTCTGAACATGGAGCTAAGGAATAAGTCTCATTAGCTCTTCTCTCCTAAAGCAAACTTGCCTTTTCTCTAGATTTTGGGATTGCTCTAGTCTGACTGTCCTCTTGAAGACAAATGATTCAGAAAAGGATGACTCAGCTTTATCTTAATCTCCTTTGGAACCCATACTGTTGTGGCTGTGGATAGACTGTAAGTTAAAAATCCAATCAAGGTTGCCAGATTGTTGCCTTGTTTGATGGTGAGTGGAAGAAAGCACTTGAGTCATTTATAGCTGTGGGCTGGAAAACATTCTGACGGTAGTTCTACCTGATACATTAACACAGTACAATCATCATGCTTACTTTTGTGCTGGGAACTTGGTAACGTTGAAACAGCATTTGAAGTAGGAAGACTTGGTACTGTCATGTTCATAGTGAGAACTTGGTTCTTTATGGTACCAGGAGTTGTTGTTTCTATTATGTGAAAAAACAAAAAGAACATCCATGAGGAATATGATAGATCATTAGCTAATTTCATTAACATTCATGCCTATATCCATTTACAACATGAAGGTTATTATTGAAAATATTTAGACTGAGATTTAGAAATCTAGCCTTCTAGTCAGCATTAGAATGACCTAGGTAGCTATTTCAGAAAGTAGAGTGACATTAGAGTTTTTTGTGTGTTTGCTACAGCTGCTCTCATATGAGATACTATTAATTACACAATTAATGAAAATCATTGTATGTGTGAGATTCAGAGAGTTCAGTAGTTCAGTCACATGAGGAGAGTCATGTCTGGAACCCACCCACTTTTGGTTAAAAACAGTTAATCACTACTAGGAAGATGAGGATATGGAAGCAGCAGCACTTAAAGAGGGCACTATGGTTCTCGTGCTGCCTAGGAGAGGGTTTCATGCACATAGAAGAGCCAGAGAAGTGGGGGATACCAGGAAAACAATAAAATCTATTTTGAATAATTTCTAGTCATTTTTGAAAGTGAAATTAAAAGCAAAGTTAAGCTGAGATCTTAAAAATTAATGCTGGAATAAGTTGACTTGAAGCAATCTGTATTTGTATAGTTGTGTTTTAAATGATCAGTGCTCTTCGGTTGTTTTCTAAGTTCATTAAAGGGACATTGGGCCAGTAAAGAAAATACACAAATGTCAGTTAGTGTACAACTTGTGCTGTCTACATATGAGTTTAGCTGGCACTAGGCAGGAAAGAAGTTTAGAGGATTCCTAATATAGAATAGGCTGGAGCAGGGATTTCTGGTGGCTTCCAGTGCAGCAAATCTTGGAATTATGACAATAAGCAAGAATCTATGAAGAAAATTCTTAGTGCTACTGAGGCATTTGTGGGAGAGAAACCAGTAGGGCTTGGAAGGGTCCATAAATAGTAGACAAATACATCCTCAGATAGAAACATTCCAGGATTTAAAATGTAAACGAAACAAAAATAAATTCAAACACAAACAACATTGTTAATCCTGCATGAGAAAGAAAACATAGAAATGGGCATAAAATCAGGGGCATCATGAGGTACAAAATTGGGGAAATACTTGAGAAAATAGTGATGGGCTTTATTGCAGAAGAGCAGACATTGATGTTTTTATAGTTTAGAAATGAGAAAGACATCCCCCACCCCAAGTGCAGACTCAACACTTTACAAGCAGGTAAAGACTTTGCTTCCTCATAGTATTTCCATATGTGCTTGGGAAATGTCATAATAAGAGTTCTTATTTAGAAATCTTTGGCTAAGAACTCCTCAGATGATATAAAATGGAACATGAGAATCTTCTTGCCTAGGATGTAAGTGTAAGTGAGGAACATCTACCAGCCCCATGGAACATCTACTTGTATCGTGGACTGGACAGATGACAAATGCTTTGGAATTATTATCACTCCTGGGCTATTATCAAGCCAGAGTCCCTTGCTAGTGGATGGAGTCCCATATCAGTGCCTGAGGAAATCTCCATCACCTGGTGAGGCCATCCTCTTATTATACAACTGGTCACCAGGGAAGGACCCACACACTGCTGTCTGCACCACATCTGCCAGAACACTTAAAAGTGTCCTCACTCAGACACAAAAGATATAGTAGGTGTCTGATTCTTCCATTGTACTAATTCTACCTATGGTTATTAACTATAGACAAAGAACTTGTATGGAGATGACACCTAGGGCCCAGCTAGAAACAATCAACACTGTATTACAATCTTGCATATTACCCTGACATCTTTAAGAGAAATATGCTTGTTGAGAGCCAGGAGAATTCAGTGAAACCTTTAAGTGGAAGTAGGAAATTCAGTTTGATGTCTAGGTTCTTGAGTTCTTTATATATTTTAGAGGATCAGCCCTCTGTCAGATGTGGGATAGATGAAGATATTTTCCCATTCTGTACGCTGCTATTTTGTCTTATGGACAGTGTGCCTTACAGAAACTTTTCAGTTTCTAGAAGTTCAATGTATTAATTTTTGATCTCAGTGTTTGTACTACCAGCTAAAACTCCTAGCAATTGTGGAGAGGGCACCTGAACTGGACTTTCCCTGTAATGACATTGATAATTACCATAATTGTCATCATAGAACTTTCATCCAGTAACTAATGGAAGCAGATGCAGAGATCCATAACCAAGCACTGGGTTGAGCTCCAGGAGTCCAGTTGAAGAGATGGAGGAGGGATTATATGAACAAGGGGCATCAAGATCATGAAGGGGAAACGCACATAGACAGCTGACCTGAGCTTATAGGAGCTCCTGGACTCTTGACTGACAGCTAGGGAGCTGCCATGGGACTGACTTCATCTGGGTGACAGTTTGTGTAGCTTGGTCTGTTTGTGAGGCCCCTAGCAGTGGGGGGATCAGGACTTGTCCCTGATTCATAAGCTGGCTCTTTGGAACCTTTCCCTCTGATGGGATGTCTTGCCCAGCCTTTATTTAAGTGGGTAGGGCTTGGTCCTGCCTCAACTTGATATGCCAGACTTTGTTGTTTCCTTTGGGAGGCCTTAACCCTTCTAAATGAAGATGGAGGAGGAGTGGATGTGAATTGAAGGAAGGTGGGGGGAGAAATGGGGGCAGAGGAAGCAGGATAAAATGTGGTTGGTATGTAAAATAAGTAAAGAAAAAAAGAATATGGTGAACTCACTCTTACAGCTCTTATTATACATAGAATTGATATTTTAGCCATAATTACAAAAGAAAAAGAGAAATTAGAAGCTATATAAAATCAAAAGGAATGAAGTCAGATTACCCTGTTTTCAGTTGATTCAATATATATGAAAGTCTGAAGGGAGCTGGAGACATGGCTCAGTGATTAAGAGCACTGTCCTTGCAGAAGACCTGGGTTTGGTTCCTAGCACCCACATGATGGCCCCAACTGTCTTCATTCCAGCTCCAGTTTATCCAATGTTCTCTTTGGACTGCTGCTGGCACATGCATATGGCATATATATATATATATATACATATATATATATATATAATTTGTAAAAAGTCATCAAATAAATATTAGAACTTATGAAGAAAATAAAAATGGAAGCACATAGAATACAAAATCAATATAAATATCAGTGATATATTAATACAGCAATAGTGAATTTATAGAGAAAAAATCATGAAAGAACAATAATTACCCAAAACAATATGATGCTTAGGAATGTGTCTAGCTGAGGAACTAAAAGACTTCTTAGTAAAAGTTGAAAAATACTGCTAAAATAAAAAACACACATCACACATACAAAATGAAAAGTCCCTTTAAGTTCATGGATCGGGAGAATTCTTATTGAAAAAACATCCATATTAACAAAAGCAAATTACAGTTAATGACTGTCCATCAAAATACCAATGACATTCTTTATAAAACTGCAACAATTCCTAAAAACTCATGTGTCATTGCAAGAGACTGTGAAGAGGAAAAGTAAATCATAAGCAGAAGAATCAACCTGGGCCATAGCGCTACCTGACTTCAAAACACTATAAAGAAGAATCAACCTGGGCCATAGCGCTACCTGACTTCAAAACACTATAAAGCTAGCATAGTTACATGACAGGTATGGGTGTAAAACAAGCACATAGACCAGGAACAGAACAGAGAACCTCGAGAAGACTCACACATCTGCAAACAGCTGATTCTCAACAATGCTAACCAAAACATTCACTGGATAAAGAACAACCTCTTCAATAAACGATGCTGGAAAACTAGTTAAGTGGAAGACTGAAATGAACCTTATACTCTGTTCAAAAAGCAATTTAAGATGCATCAAACAGTTAAATGTAAGACTTGAAGTTCTTAAACTCACTGGAAGAAAACTGGGAGTGAGTCACTTAAAAATATTGTTCCAGGCAATGGTTGTCTGGGTAAGACCCAAAGCACAGGAAGAGAAGCAAACATTGACAAGTGAGATGACATCACTTGCCAATTATTTGTGTTTGAAGAGATAATGCACAGCAGAGAGATATGTAGAACGTTTCTAGATCAGAAGCTGAAAACAAGTATGACAAGACAGAAGTCCCAGGGATATAAGCCCAAGACTGGGCTTAGAGAGTAGCCTGTTTAATGTGGAATTTATTTTTTATTTTATTATTTTAATTTTAAATAGCTTGCTTCACATGCCAATCCCAGTTCCCTCTCCCCTCCCCAGCCTCCCACCCTATTGCCAATTCCTTCCACATAGGGGATATCTAGAGTCTGTCATTTCACTTAGGGCAGGGTCCAGGCACTCCCCTAAGAGTCCAGGCTGGGAGAGCATCCCTCTTTGTGTTATGGACACACGAAATCCGTTTGCATGCCAGGGATAAACACTGATCCACTGCCCAGGGCCCCATAGGTTGCCCAGGCCTCCTCACTGACTCTCACTCTCAGGGAGTGGAATTTTACAGATGGGAGTGGAAGGAGAGGCCACACTCACTTCAGGCCTGGTTCTCAGTCACCCCATGAAGAGGGGGAATGGAGGGAGTCTTGGCTGATGGGAAAATAATGGGTAATGTATTTTAAAATGTATGCATTAGACCTGGAATGAGCAGAATTAAGGTGTGGGGCATAGTCCTAGTGAAGATATAAAGGTTTGGCTTGAGGAAAGAAAGACCCATGCATGGATGATTGGGGATTATTAACATATGAGCACTGTGGTATTAACACACTGAATGGGAATCTTTTGATTCACACACAATATGTTCCACACTCCAGCTAATGAGCAATGATATTCCACAGCAAAAGGAAATCCATCTTGATGCAGTACGTGAATATTGCTTTCATTCAGTTCTTCTGACTACTCTCCTCAGATTACAGTGTGTGCCCCTCTTTGAACTGAGTGTAACTTGTACTGTAACTTCAGAAGACGCTATATATATTAAGTTCAGCAAGGAAAATTTAATATTTGGATTAAATTCATTTAAAATTTAAACCTTGAATACCATATATTTTAATGGGATCACATGCTCTTTTGGTACGTATCTATATTGTGTAATATTGAGATC